AATCACTCCAGCATCCCCTTAACATACGATGAACAAGGATAAAGTGATACGCTGGTGCGCTCGGGTGACGTTTCTGAACGCAGCCCAGCAGGTTTGAGCGTCGCTCATCACGTGACCAACATTTAGTTCGTCGCTTTCGGAGATGCAACTAGATGACGCTAAAAATCGTATGATGCTCTGCCCGGTTTCTAGCCTAGAAATTCTAGGGGAATTCTTTATCATGCCTGCGTTAGGGGTCTGTTTGTGTTGCTTATGCTCCTCTCTCTTTCTCGCACTTAGAATCCTCGCTCTTTCTCTTTCTCTGCAACGTCCGAATACATTTATTTCCTTGCATTGCAAGAACTATGGGGATTTTTTAAGCAACACGAAGAACAACGAAGGGATCTGCTGTGCTCGTCCGGCGACGGACGCATCTCTTGTACCTGAATGAGAGGGAGATTAGATTTTTCTCGCTAGCGCGCTTACAATTTTTTAACGAGATCGTTTTTCTGCGAAAACAGTGTTATTCCGCGATGAATCCCTCAGAGCCAAGCGGCACCGAGACTCTCAGGTACAATGAGTTCACATTGGATGACACTGAAATAAGGTTATACACCAGCTTACTCTTGACAGATCAAAAGCTTTTTAAATACCCACGCGACGCGACGTCTTTCTGACGTCCGTTGTTTTGGTCTCACAAGTTTGTTTCTTTTTTTTTTAACTTTCATTTTATGTCTAACACACTTGTTTCTTTTCAGCTCTAAGATGAAAGACGTGATCGATGTTCTCGCGATGCAGCGCGAGAAAAGAAATGCGTTACAAAAGAGTATTACGATTGACTATACCAAGTCCAGCGACAGTTTTACGGTCTCTCGATTTATCTTTGAGTGTGGTACGTTGATATTTCACCATTGGAACATTGCTGGACGCTTTAGAAAATCTATAAAGTTGGTGAGTTTAATGAAATTCTCGTCCGATTGTAGGTTTGAAACTGGAGGCTCACCCGTTGACAATAGCAACCGCTGCGACATTGTATCACAGATTTATTAAAGAGGCAACACCGCAGGGATACGATAATTACGTAAGAAAGGACGATTCTAAATATCTCAAGACTCGACAAGGTTTCGGTAGCTTTGACAGAGCTCTTCTCTTTCAGCTGTTAGCTGCGACCTGTCTCTACCTGGCTGGTAAAGTGAAGGACGACACGCTGAAGATAAGAGACGTAATGAATGTGTCTTACAATACGCTCCACAGAGGCTCCCAGCCGCTCGATCTCGGGGATCAGTACTGGAGTATGAGGGACGCGATCGTTCAGGCAGAACTCCTGATCATGAGGATGCTCAAGTTCCAAGTCACGCCTGTGCATCCGCACAAGGTAAGGCGTTGCAAGTGTTACCGGTTCAACGACGTCGTCGTATGCGATTGCGCAGAAACAGCTATATCGTATGTTCCGTTGCAGTACTTGCTTCATTATCTGCGATCTTTGCAAGCTTGGTTCGGCGAAGAGGAGTGGTCCAAGTATCCGGTCGCCAAAACTAGCATGGCGTTGCTGCAAGACTTTCATCATTCCCCGGCTATCCTCGACTTCTCGCCAAATTTGATAGCGATAGCTTGCATCAATGTGTCGCTGCAAATTTATGGCGTTGTCGTACCTCTGATGGACGAGTGCGATCAACAGCCCTGGTTCAATGTGAGTGCGCGTGCTCTGCTGCGCAATTTCGTGCGTTTGTCTATGTTGGTCTATAGATTTATATGTAACTTTCTTTTGTCAACCCCGTAGGTTTTCTGCAAAGATTTAACGAGAGACAAGTTGTGGGAGATTATGGAAAAAATCATGGGAGCGTACGACGAGGAGCCCGAAACAAGAGACAACTAATAAGCGCGTATCTGTATCTATTGCAATAATAAAGCATTTTCCATACATTAGGAATTACTGCAGTTGCATTATGTGAGTTCTTTCAGTCACATGAGCTGTATTCTGCGAACGTTCCTACGTCTCATTTGACCGTCAAATTGAGAAAAATTTATATTCAAGTATTTAACACTAACTTGTTCAGTAGTATTTAACACAAACCTTATAAACATACATTTTTATTGTATCATGTTTAGGCGTTTAATTGAAATGATTGCAACGACCGAAGTAATTGTCCTTAACATTGTACAAAAGTTTGATAAGTTTTCTATTAAATGCTAACAGAATAAAATCTATAGGTAAAATATAAAATATACTTTAAAAACTGAAGTAAAATTTAATTTGTTAATACATTTTCTCCTATTCAACGTATAGTTTTCACATCATCCATTTTCTTTATTAGCAAATCTGTTCACTTTTGTACAAGCAGAAAAACTTTACTTGAGTGAATCGAGATGTGTACGTTGATGCACAAGATCTAAAAATATAGATATGGTGTATAAATATTAGATGTATTCTAACATAAAATATTAAAATGTTTAAATTATATATCTCTCTCAAGTTTCATTTGACTCATAACGACGATAAAATTTCTTCTGTACATTTCTTCAGGGTGTTTAGCGCAAAGTTGATATCACTGTTATTCAGACTAGCAGATATACAAAGTCTAAGACTAGGTCTAGGTACGATTCTTTCTGCTTCCAGATAGGCAGGTGGTATGATCGCCAAATTATTTTCTATACATTTGTTAGAAATTGCAGACAGTAATTCTTTCTCCGTGGTGTGGTCCTTCTGCTCCTTTAAATACACATGTTTTAAAGGCGATTCCGCGGAACTGGTGCACTCCAACGTCGAGATTTCTTTGAGAGCTTTGTCCATCGACAAGGCGTTATTTCTTAAGGACTCAAATATTTGCGAGTTGTTTTCAATTATGTCTAGAGAAGTGATAGCAGCAGCTGCCAAGAGAGGTGGTTGAGACGCTGAGAAACAGTAGCCGAGACCGGATAAACGTTGATGATCGATGACGAAGGACGTTCCCACGCAAAAGCCTCCAATAGATCCCACAGCGCACTCCAAGGATCCTAAACAATGCAGATATATACATTCGTTACATATATGTGTACATTTCCATATTAATATATTTTAATAAAAAATGTCTATGTAACATTGGCCTACAACAAAAATGTCTTAGAAACGAAGTCGGCCAATCTTTACTGATTTCGGAGTCGTTGAATCCAAATAAGTTGGTGAACAATGTTTCCTAGTTCTAGTTTCGATTATATAGGACTTTTCGGGTCGACTGTAACTTCACAACGAAACATGATAACTCGAATACGTCTCAAAAGGAAGAAATGTAATATTTGCGTTCCTGAGACGATTTTTAACTTTATCAAATAAGTTTTGCATTACACAACACCACACAAACTTCGGCAAATGAGGCTAAAAATCATTTGCAAAAATTTGAATGCTTTCTTGGTAAAGTACAAGATGGAAGCTTTCTTTCGGGACGTTTTTGATTCGGTTTCGTTGTAAAGTCACAGACTAAAAAGGCAGTTTTCGAGGATTTCAATCCTCTATATCGTCGAAACTAGAACTAATAAAAAATGTCCGGCTAACATTATCGAATTCGGCAATCCTCCGAATTAATAAAAAAGATTGCCTGATCTCATGTCAGGGGCTCGATCATGAATCTTTTCCTCCAGTGTTAACTGAAAAGTGAGAAGCGACGAATATTAAATTTTTCATTTCTTACGAGTCCACGCTAGAGGAAAAGATTCACCGTCGAGCCCCTGAGGCAGAAAATGAGTTGAATTTTCTCTCACCCATTATCATGTCTATTTCACTTCTGGGAACGTTGAAGTATTCGGTAACGCCTTTCCCGTGCGGACCGACGGTGCCGAAGGATATCGACTCGTCGATGAAGATCCTCAATTTGTACCTCTTGCAGAGATCCAATAGTTCTGGCAGAGGACAAATGTTGCCCGTATTCATATAGATACCCTCGACGATCAGGAAGCGTTTGGTCTTTGCAGCCTTCGTGGGGTGTTGTTTGTCCACCTCCTCCTGCCTCGTCAAAAGATTCCGCAGATCTTGAACGTCGTTATGCTTAAAGTACTGGATATTTCCTCGCGTCGCGTCCAATCCCTTCTGTATGGCAAAGTTCACTCGCTCGTCCACGAATATCAGGTCTTTCCGCTTGCAATAAGCCGGGATTGCGCTCGCCACGGTGGCGAACCCGTACGAGTATATGATACATTCCTCCATACCCATGAACCTGGCCAGACGCTCCTCCAGCTCGAGGTGCACGTCGACGGAGCCGTAGAAGCCTCGCGGACCGCACGAACCGACGCCGTACTTCTCGATCGCCGCCACGGCGGTCTCTATGAGCTCGATGCTGTCGCTCAGACCCAGGTAGTTGTGCGTGCCCAGGTTGAGGCAGTCCCTGTCGTTAACCGTCACCCGCTTGCCAATCCTGGAGGTGATGCGCCTGGGGCTGAGCGAGGGATGTTCCTCCGGCGGCTCCGAAGGCTCCGGCACCAGCGACTCCGGCTGCCACTCGGCTAGTCTGCGCTCGAGCAGCTCGCGCGAGGGCGTCGAGCCTCCGCTTTGCCGCCTAAGGATGATCCACACTACCCAGAACACCAGGAACGCCTTCAACAGGGTGTGGTAGTTGGGCAGGGTGTACTGCAGCACCTCCACCGACTCGACGAACAGAAGTGTGAAATGCGAGCTCATCTTTTTCTCGAGGAGTCCGAGCAGGAGCGGGCACTCACTCTTCTACCGTACGACGCAGTATATTAATTGTAAGCCGGAGTACCTCGCGAGATAAGGCATGCGACTAAACGGGCGTGGACAACGATAAGCCGAATTATCACTCCATTCCCCCTCGCCAGTCTTCGCGCCAATGACGTTAAATTGGTTGTGTTCTCCAGAAGTTAGCTCTTAATAAGCGTTTTATGCTGATTGGATAGATCTAGAAGAATAGCTCTATTTCAGCACAGATCTGAAAGTATAATCCAATGAACGCAAAGCGCTCAGCAAGCGCTAACTTCTGCTGGACACAGGCATTGAGTCTATGGCCGGTATTCATAGTCCGTTCTTATATTTAAGATCATCTTAAGTATACTCTTAATGTGTTTTCAACCAATCACAGAGCCGTATTAGCGTCTTAAGACAACACTTAAAATGATACTAAAATAAGAATCGACTATGAATACCGGCCTATGAGCAGTCAGAGCATAGACATAGTAAATATAGACTGAGGCCGGTATATTGTGAATATTTAAGATCGTCTTAAGTATGCCCTTAATGTATTGTTAACCAATCACAGAGAGGACCTTAGATTCATCTGTTTTATCGACACATTGGAACATAGTTTTTGCGCTGGTAAATCTTTTTATTAGCTTTAGGGCGACTTTCACAAACGTCGGTCAACTGCTAACCGTTTGTGAAACTGGCCCTTAATGCACAAAATAATGCCAGGATATCGGTCTGTGATTGGAACGAGAAAGATAAACTCTGAACTGGTGCAGCCAGTTCAGCTAAAAAGAACAGACCCACTGTCGCAACTCACCAAAGTCTTTAGGCTTGTTTTCTGTTGCTACACTGGTGAACTAGTGCAATAAGTTAAAGTAGGACAAGTATATTTTTTCTCATTCTAGCTTACTGCACTAGTTCACCAGTGCAGTAATAGAAAACAAGCCTTTTCTCTTGCTCTCTCGGCCGACTAGCTCTAACCAGACAAACTTGCACAGCGCATAAGGAATCTGATGGGCCATAAGGGCCATTGCACACAAAATTGCATAGCTGCATGTGCATAGCATAATAACCGTGTAAACCAATGAACATCGAGCATTGAGTCGCCATATTGATTTACGTAACATGCTTATTGGTCTAGACGGTTTTGTACTATGTATATGCAACTGTGCAATTTTGCGTGCGATGGCTCTAAAACGGAGAGCACACACTTTTGCATAAGTGCATACATAAAGGAAATAAACCAATCAACCCCTCACAGTATTTTATCGCATATTCGTTTAGCCACGCGCCGCGCACGCTCGATCGCGAACAGACCTGCAGGCGGGTCCGCGCGCGTGCAATCGGCGACCTCAAGCCGCTCTCGGCGGAGCCGCGAGTCGAGTTGAAAACAGTACTTCCGGTATCCGGCAAACGCCCCAAAGTCGGTCTACCTGTCAGCGTTGCGTCGAGCCGCGGCTTTCGGCGCACGATAGTTCGCTCCACGCCACGTCCCCGTCGATTCCAATCGAGAAGGAGCTGTTTACGCGCGACCACGGGACCCTCCTCGCCGAAACGGTGAGCACGTTTAGACGACGATCGTCGTCGCGCCGCGTGGGAGACGCCGCGCGACGGCGCGGCCTCCACTCTCCGGAGATTCCGCTCCGTTTCTCTCGCTTCCCCGACGAGCGAGCCGCGCGCCGATTGTGCGAGACGATATTCAAAACCGTACGTGAACCGTACATGTTCTTTTTTTTTCTGCGGACGGCCGAGCAACGCGCTCGTAGAAATCGTGCGAAGTTTGGTTAGCCGCCGTCGCATTCCGGCGAGCGTTGCCCGCCTGAGTCATGCGTGCCACTTGACGTTTAATATACCGGTGACGTGTATACTCGCACCGAGTTAACTCCGTCGGGGACCCACCGCGCCGATCAAAGCCGAAACGGGCGACTCTTTCGGGGCATCGAGAGAGAGACGCCTCGATCCCATATTATTCGCGTGTCCCGTCGTGCGGGCGCGTCCGATAACCTCGTCCGATAACCTCAAGTAGTTTTCCGATCAACTTGCCGTGCGACGCCTGCGGTGTTTTGTTAACGCGAGCGGAACGCGCTGGTCTCGCTTTGAAAAAGCGGGATTTTAAGGCTCGAGGAAGCTCTCGGCGATTTATGCAGCTGGAGATCGCTTCGAGTTGATCGGCGGCTAACAATAACGCCTAATCGGGGCTCGATCGACGTCACATCCGTGAAACTTATCTGCGAGATCCGCCGCGATAGGTACGTGCTCGGCTTATCAGAGCGGAGTGGATTAATAGCGAATTCGGTTGCTCCGCGCGCCGGTGCGTACGGAGAAGAGCGCCGTGCCGTCGGTTCGCCTGGGCGTGAAAGTGTGACAAAGGTACGAGTTAATTTATACCTTTTAGCGCGCGCGAGCCGGGATAATTGCGCGCCGCGAGCGTTAAGTGTTGAGCTCGTTTGCACCGAAGGCGCCTCCAAGTGAAACAGAGCGGGCAAGTGGAAACGAAGGAGGCTCGACCGAAGTGCACGTCTTGTTGTTGCGCGCTCGAAATTTTTGAGTGATCGTGTAATCTGTAAAAATATATTATTGTACACATCACGAGTATCATAAAACAGCACGTCAGAAATCGGTCATTGCGAAGTAAGTCTTGATGTCGATCATGTTGTGACGTAAAATTCATCATTTTAATGTCACATCGACGTTTTTGTGATTAACTTGTCCTACTTGGGTTGCTCTTGCTCGCGCGACACGCTGTTAACGGGGACGTCTTCTCGTTTATTTCCCCGAGAAAGGATTTGGGGTGGTGTTTATAGTCTGTTCTTATATTTAAGACTGTCCTAAGTTTAGCCTTCGTGTGTTGTAGGTCAGTCACAGAGCTGTATTAGGCCCGGTTTCACCAACGTCGTTTAACTCTAAGCCAGGGTTGGGACTTAACTCGTTACGAAGTTACAGTTACCTTTTCTTTGGCAACTCCAACTTAACTTCGTTACTCTCTCTCCATCTGTAACTGTAACTTAACTCAGTTACATGTTTTCGATAACTAGTAACTAATTTAATAGTTACATTAATAGTGACTTTATACACAGTTTAAATCTCCACAGATTGCATCAGGCCTTGCACTTACGCACGAACGCCTTTATCGACGCTTTACAATTCAAATGCAGATTTGATATTTTTATTTTCATTGCAAGAAGGTAACTGCAAAGTAACGATTCGTTACTTTTTAAATGACTGTAACTGTAACGCGTTACTTTTCAGAATTGGTAACTTGTAACTGTAACTAGATACTTTTGTAAAGTAACTTTCCCAACCCTGCTTTAAGCTTAGCTTTCTTCGCTCTTTCTATCTTTCCAACTGTTACTTTAGAAAGAGTCATGAGGTAAGCTTATTGTAAGATTAAAGTTGAGCGACGTTTGGTAAAACCAAGCCTTTGTCTTAAGACATTATTTAAGACGATGTTGAAATAAACTGTGAATACCAGCCTTGGTTTCTAATCTTCCAAACTCTTTCTACTTTATAGATTAACTACTATTTTCTCACGCATTACTCCACATCGTGTTGGTCTAAAACATTGTTGTCTAATCTTCTACCTTTATTTCTATCTCATTCCCTACTTCCCTTTTCTTATCTAGTCTACATCGCTTCTCTGTTTCCTTATTAAAATCTTTCCTTTATTAACCGAGTTGTAATACATTCGTAGATAATATAGATTCGGGGTCTATCCAGACAAAGCTGCAAGCTGCATAAACGTATGCACAAGGAATCAGATTGGGCCATAACTGCACGCATAAGCAAATAGACCCATCAGTTTCTTTATGCATATGCTTATACACCTGCGCAAGTTTGTCTGGACAGACCTTTATGATCTCACAGACGGATATGTTTGTTATTAGAATTGTGAAGGAGACCTAAATCGATCATTATTATTACACGGAGAGAATTTCCTCTTAAAATTTACGCTGAGAATCGTGTAATCGCGGGACAACATGGTAATTTTCAAGAACTTTATGAGAGTTTCCTAAAAATTACTAGTAAAACTTCAAAAAACTCTCGTAAAGTTCTCCGAAGTGCCGTGTTGTCCCATTACATTTCGGGATAAATTTTGAGAGAAAATTCCCTCCGTGTAGTACTCTGGTGTTTATAGAGTTACATACATAGAGGAAAGTCCCTTATACATGATAAGCTCCTAATATGGGATAGCGGAGTTTCTGCTAAATTAATTGCCATCATCTGTTGGTTCCACCATGAATTTATTGCCCTTGGAGTGAAATCTGCTTAGTGGAAAATTCATTGTTAGATCGTGTAATCGTTGCGAAAAGAGATTTGTCATTGAATTTGGACGCTGAAAACCTGCTATCTCATATTAGAACCTAATAATAGAGGACTTCCCTTTGTGTTATAAGAGTATTTTGATGCGATTAGTACCAGCTAGGTACCCCATCCGTATTAAGCTAATTTAGTGCGAATATGCTTGGTACGCGTATCAAATGATTGGTGTAAACTAGGCCTGTCTTGAATTGCATTCAACGTGTATCCCGTCGAACGATTGTTTAAAATGTCTGTTAGGCGTTCCACGAAAATTTATGCAATATATTTGAACGGTAGCAGCGACAGTCGTGCTAAATTTATAACGGCATTGCGGTCTTTAGGGCGATACAGACGGGGAAATTGGTGTCGTCGCTTACTCGTCCACTATCATCTTTGTTTTTTTCTTCAATTTATCGATCAGTCATAAAATAATAAGAGCGCTGGTTCGTTGGAACAATTCGCAGTACAATGAACCTGATAGTTAAATGTTGATATTTCTTGACAGTTTACTTATCGAGAAATATGGACGTCTCAGGGATAGAACTATTAACTTTATTTGCAATTTGCGGAAGGGAGATTAGATTAAGGACGGTGATTCGTACGATCAGAAATTGTGTTCCGGGCGCTCGTGCCGATTGAATTAATTGCCTATTAATTTAATCCAACTGGTCCGAAGTCACTTTCAACCACTCCTTAATGTTAAGGGATGGTTTCACGTCGGTCAACTGCTAACCGAAGGTTAACTGATTCTCTGTTTCTTCTTAAATAATAAGGTAGAAAAAGGTAGGGAGTTGACTGAACTCTGGGTAACAGTTAACGGACGTTTAACTTTAATCTTGGTTTAATTCACGTTTGTCTCTTTCTAAAGTAACAGTTGAAAAGAGGCAGAGAACGAATTAAGCTAGGCTTGAAATTAAACAGCATTGGTGAAACCGGGCCTAAGTGTCAACCGTGATCGGTTGATTCTGGTCACTTCTGCTAAACGATAAGTGCGATCGATCAATCCCATCGGAGTACCGAAATTTAATCGGCTGATGAAATTAATCGGAGATAGCGAAACCGACCCTCAATAGCTACAAGAGGAATTACGAATTTAATCGGTGCACGGGGATACGTGATCGATCGAAAAATCGTCGTTTCTCCAAACCGATTGTCACGATTTACCTTCTCAACGCTCACCTCCAATCCGTTAGCGCGGATGGAGTCATTTTTTTCTCTCGCAATACGAAAGAGGAGATTAGACGAAGGGTAACACGGGCTAGGCCGGTTCTACATTGGTCGTGCCGTAGTGTCGCAGGGGTCGTAGACTGGTTCTAATTTGACGTTGATTGATCGAGTCTATAATTTGCGACGCTACGATACGACCGACGTGGAACCGGCCTCACGTCGGGTTCGAAATTTGGATTGTAATCTCGTTAATCGGAGTTGCGACTCGCCTCCGAACAGCGGCAGCACGAGGGACGTGGTCCCGGAGGCGCGAAGACGGAGCGGCGGCGCGGGGACGGGGGTGGGACGACGCAGCGCGCCGGTCGAACTGGGAACGTCAAATCCGGGCGGGCGTCCAGGACGTTATCTCTCCAGCCGCCGCCTCTCCGCTCGCGCCCGCCGTTATCGCCGCCGTCTTCCTTGCCGTTCCGTGCCGCGACCCCTTGGCAGAAAGGAACCCGGCCGCATCTCTCTTCCGCGTCGACGACACTCGGACGACGTTCCCAAGTTCAGGGCTTGTCGGGCGAGTGCGCGAATACGTTTTCGCATCTTGCCACCCTGCGCGGCCCCAAGGATACGCAACTCCGATCTGGAATCCGCCTCTGCCCCACCGGCACTCGTCGCGGGAGATCCCGAGCTTCTCGCGAGCTTCTCGTCCTGCCGCTATGACGTGATGACAATTAAGCTGGATTACCCAGTTTCTCGTTATCCTCGAAACATCGTGTCCCCACGGAGAGCATATTCGGAGATCTTTCAGTGTGGTGAGGGAGTCGGAGAGAGGGAGAAGGATTCGGCAGCTGCGTCCCATCGCGAGGCGGCTGTTCGAGCACGGTTTTCGGTCGCCCGTGCCCCTCGAGTCGCACCGAGCGTTATCGCGCGCCGTGAAGAGAAAAGGACGACGCTGGTGGAGCGGAGACCACGGCTTCGGGCTCAGCGCGCGGTCAGTTATAGTTGACCTGTTCATTGCTCGCTGTCGACCGTAGATCGAAGTTTCGAGCGTTTGATCAGCGCAAGGCGGCACCGGGGGAGAACGAAACGCGCCTCGAATGAAATATTCGTGGACTAGGCGCGGGCCGCGAACTTGTTGACCTTGTTTCACAGTTTTGAAAGTATCTGTTAAATTTCTGCCTGTTAAGTCTATCAAGTGACTTGTAGTTTTTTCTCGTTGAGCCGATTGGAATTTTGCAGCATTAATTTGTAAGAGAGATTTTACGAGGGAGTCGAAGGAAAGGCATTGTGATTCTCGGAGGGCCGTCGCACGCGCGCTGGCATTTCAGGAAGAGTGGCGAGGATACGCGAGGCGCGAAGTGGACGATACAGAGGCACGATGTTCAAGTGCTGCGTGTGTAACAGCGCGTCGAAGAAGGCGAGCCTCGAGAACGCGGATGACACGCCGATCGGCTCGCCGGTCGACTCGAGGCTCTCCGCCCAAGAGGACGACGAGATTAAATCCACGGCGACAGTGGACAAGTGGAACGGCAATGTGCAGAAGTCGGAGAAGACGTCCTTGCTGGAGGATGCCTCGGTAGAAGATAAGGATGCCTTGTTAGAGGATAAGAATGTCTCGCTGGAGGCCGAGGATGTCTCGCTAGAGGATAAGAACGTCTCGTTGAGGGACAAAGATGCTTCCATAGAGGATAAGGATGCCGTGTTAGAGGATAAGAACGTCTCGTTAAAGGATAAAGATGCTTCCCTTGAGGAAAAGGGTGCCTCGTTAGAGGATGA